AAAATTTCAAAAAAGCGAATAAAACCCAGACTGGACGGGTTTTAATGGGTTTTTTGAGGCAGGTTTTATTGGACATTTTTTATTGCCAACAATATTAACTTTCAATTTTTTTTTTTGTATTGTGTATTTATATTAACCCTTTGACTGCTTGATAAAATCAAAAGATGTTTACAAAAAATTAACTAAAAAAAATGAAAATAGAAAAAAAAAAAACAATTCTGATATTTGTATCCCATGTTTTATTTTATAACATCTACAAAATTTATAAACAAAAATTTAAACCCTCATGGCATAAATAATAAATGATATTTAGAAAAGCAATAATTTTTTGCAATTAAGGTCATAATTTAAAAAATCAGTTTTAAAAGCCACCTTCATGGCCTGCCGACTTTAACAGAAAACCCATGATCGTGGCTTGGCGCAGTCAAAGGGTTAATAGCGATATTTTTTTACAACTTGTAAAATTATTAACTTATTAACTCTAAAGTAATAATTTTTTTTTTTTTTTAATTTTTTTAATTTTTTTTTATTTTAATACTTATTTTTTTTTTTTTTAATTTTAATATTTATTTTTATTTTATTTTATTTTTCAAAACTAATATTTTTTTTGCTCTTTCTTGTATACTCAAAATATTTGCTATGGTTAAATACACTCTCATTTTTTTTTTTTTTAACTTTTGTCAAATATTACATAAATTATTAATTCTTGTCTCTGGTATCTTTTGTTTTCAAATTGCTTTTTTTTCTTCTATCCAATAAAGTATCAAATAAGCTTTTTAGGTATATTCTTTGAGTTAAGATATAGTTAAACATTATCCTGGCTAGTATGAATAATAGAAAATCTCAAATTAAAAGAATTCTTCTGATTTTTTAATTTGTCATATAAATCTTAATGTTTACCGTTTAATTTATCATATAAATTTTAATGTTTACCGTGTAAAACCATGGTTATCATATTGCCATGTAAAAAGCAGAATTAGGAATTATATTACTCGAGTTTGTATTCTACAATTAAAATATTTATATTTTGGTTTAAATATAGCATGCATAATCGTCAACTATTTTTTTTGCACCCAAACATAATAGATCAACTATTAATTCTATCATTGATTCTATACTCATGATAGATCAACAATTTATTCTATCATTGATTCTATACTTCTTTAATGTTGTAATAGTTTATAAGATGCTAAGGCAAATTTAATTCAGTAATATTTCTATGTATAACTTCATGTACTGAAGCACCCAGCTATTTCAGTATAATGTTATCATTTGTTTCATGTGGAGCTAAATCCACATTGATATATTTTTAAGAAAAAGAAAGAAAAAGTTTCTTTTTTGCTGTAATATCCTTTACACATAGATTGCACGTTGTGCTTTTGGACTACTTTTTTAGACAATGTCTATTTCATTAGAAGAACCAGATCATAGCAGTTTTTCATACAAGGATTAAAAAAAGATTTATAGAAATAGAGAATGAAATTAGGAGTCAAAATATGACTAAATTGATATAGAGAGGCAACCTTAGCAGGTTCTAGCTTTAGGATGGATTGTATATATGGTTAGTTGATTGCAGTAAATAGCTAAGTTTTGTTTAGGTTTAAATTCAGAAGCCACTACATATTCCAAACTGTAACAAAAGAGTGATGACTTTTTGTGAATATTGGAATATATAGTTGTATCATTAGCAGATTATCCAAGATTATCCAAGAGTTGTGTCCTTAGCAGATATAGTCACAGTGGTTAAGATTATCAAAGAGTTGTATAATTAGCAGATAAAGTGGTAAGATTATCTGGAAGATCAATAATTTATGAATAAAAACACAGGATTATGTATGGAATCTTTTTCATTTGCATTAATGAAAGAGAGTGTTGTCCATCAAAGACAACTTTAATACTGCATTTAGAAATGATTTAATTATTTTTCAAAACTTTCTTAGAAACACCATATGGTGTGAGCTTATAAAGAAGACCAAACTTTATTGAAAGCCTTTGTTATAAGCAATAATTCTTGCCACACCACTTACATGGTTCTATCATTCATTTAATGTATAATAACTTTCTGTTATAAAAGTTAAAAAGTCAGCAACAGAATAAGGATTGAAATCAGAATGAGTGAGAACAAGGATTGAAATCTGTATTGAGTGTCAGAGAGTAAGTTGTTAGACTCAAGATGAGATTTTAAAGTTTGTTGATTAAAGATTTAAAGACTTTGCTAATTGCATTTTTTGATTTGGCGATAATTCAAGACAGGCACTAGCTTGCTTTTCATCTGTTTCCCATATGGTTTAGGGCAAGCAACTTTTCTCCACAGAGATTAGGATTGTAATTCTATTTAACTTTACATTGGACAATATCCAAGTTTTTAATCCCAGTGCAGTAGAAGTTGTACCTGTTTGAATATGCTTTTTGGTCCTTGGATACTTTTAACTTGGATGTAGCCATTTTGAAACGAGATAGTGCTTCAAGAAACTCATATGCTCTCCAGATTATGTCCATAGGTTTGAGTAGCAGTAGCTATAAAAAAGTAGCTTTGTTGATGGTCTATGCTACATGGCAAGTGTTATTCCTTGCCTTTTTCAGATTTGAATTAGGTTGGCTTTGCAAAAATACAACTTCAAGCTAATGATCAAATTTATTTTTGATGGTCTTCATCCGTTTTCTTCATCCATTTTCAGGTTAAATAACCTGCTTTTAAAGAATTTTTACATGCACTGAATCCACATTGCAAAAAGTCATATCCAGACTCTCTCTTTGAATCAGAATTGAAGATGCTGCTATTCAGTTGAAGAAGACTTTGCTTTTACACTTCAGTAAAGTCAGCTATGTTGCCACAACTACTGATTGCTGGTCTGAGCACCAGAAAAGTTTCATAGGGGTGGCAGCTCATTGGATTGATAAGGAAACTGTGGAGTGGAGATCTTCGGCACTTGCTGGCCAGAAATTGAGAGGGTCACACACCTTCAATTTCCTAGCAGGCACTAGATGGAGCTTGACATACATGGCTGTGGAGAGAATCTTAAGAATTTTTTATGGAAAAAGGTCCAGATGCTATCAGAAATGTGCTTGAAGAATTCAAAGTAAAAATGGGAGTTTTTCAAATATAATTTAATCAGTGTAATCAAATAAGTATAAAATAATATTGATTGAGATAATTTCTTAAAGCTCCCCTATTCATATTATATCCTTAGGCTGAATCCTGGAATGGCTTTTGCCAGTGATCTTTTAGTTACAAACAAAACTCAGCAGTCTGGAGACATCCTCAAAAATGTGTCTGCTCCTTATTAGAGCAGTTCAGGATGATATCCAAAAACATTTTGGTAGAATAATGCAAGAACTGGAATTGATTGCTGCAGCAATTCTTCTGCCAAAGTTCAAAAACACCTGGATTAAAAGAACTGAAATTATAGGAGCAGGTATGATTTACTTTTTTTATGCCATAGTGTAATCTGTTGCGCCCATTTTGTCTATTTTCTATATTTTCTATTTTTTTATTGAAAAAAATATTTAATATGCAATGTTGCATTTGTTTTTCAACAGGTCTGTTCTATGCGAGACAGCAAATTGACCAGATGGCAGAAGTAGAGCAAGTTGAGTAACATTCGTCAGATGTAGAAAATTTGTTCGCATCAATGAATCCAGAAGGTCACAAGGTACAATAGAGGTCTATGGGTACCTTGCTTGTAGTTCAAACAAAATGGATCTATTGAGCTCATTTCCACACATCAAAAATCTTTCTCTCAAACTGAACACTGGTCTTCCTGCTTCGGCTGCCTGTTAGCGTCTATTAAGTGGTGCTGGACTTTACTGTAAAGCGAACAAGATTAAAGTCTAAAAACCAACTGCTTCTTAAACTTAACAAAAAGTAGTGTGAAGTTATACAGAAAACAATTTTTATGTTTTATTATTCGACAACTGTTATCTGACAATGGCTGTTAAATAAGTAATTATACAAGTTTTACTTGGAGTACGTTTTTATGAGGCTACTTTTTACTTTTACTTGATTAAACTTTCTGATCAGTAACTTTTACTTATACTCGAGTACAATTTTACTCAAGTAACAGTACTTTACTTGAGTACAAAATATTTTTACTTTTTCCTCCTCTGACTAAGTGTTACTTTCTTTAATTACTTATACTTGATAACTTAGAGGTAAATAAAATGATTAAAAAAACATCGAACAAAACAAAACAAAAATCGAGAAAATATATTACATATTTTATTAATATTATCAAAAAAAATTAATATAGAGTAATTTGGACTGATATATATATATATATATATATATATATATATATATATATATATATATATATATATATAAATATATATATATATATAAATATATATATATATATAAATATATATATATATATATATATATATATATATATATATATATATATATATATATATATATATATATATATATATATATATATATATATACAAACAATTTTAAAATGTATTCTACAAAATAGAGTGCTCAATGTTTTTAAAAGAACAGAGCAATAATAAAGTAGTAGAAAATCACTTAGCAAAAATTTTTTTCATTTAACACTGTTTCATCAATAAAGACTCATCAGAAATCATTTCTGATGAGTCTTTATTGATGAAACACACACACACACACACACACACACACACACACACACACACACACACACACACACACGCACACACACACACTATATATATATATATATATATATATATATAAATTATGCTAGTGTATTCTAAAATTAGAGTGCTTAATGTTCTTAAAGAGCAATAATAATTTAGTAAAAACACATCTAATTTTTGTGCTCTTCAGCAGCATGTTTCACCATCAATAGGTTTATCAGCAAGCATCTGATGCTTCCTGATAAACCTATATATTTGGTATATTTTATGATTAAAATATTTTATTTTGCTGACTCGAAAAAAAAAAAGGTTTATCATTAAAAATAGTTATCTCTGAAAGTAGGAGTGTTGCATATTATCAATAATTTTACTTTTAGCTGGCACCCTGCAACTCATCATGCAACATTATGCTCAGAAAGAAGGAATAAAGTTCCATATTATTGGTAAAGCGAACATTTCTTATGTTTCGCATGTACACATTTTATGGGCTGTGCCACAGTTTATATTTCTTGGTATTAGTGAAATGCTTGTTGGATTGACAGGTATTAAATATTTTAATATCTATTTTGAATCTTTTTTTTTTAAATGTTTGTCACTAAATTTACTTTTTTTTTCATTATTCTAAAATGATTTGTACATTTAGTTTTTTAAAAACCATGAGTTCTTCATAATATTCTAAAATCGTTAGTATTTCTTTATAGCATAATTAGTTGATATGCAGATCTTAACAAATTTCAGATCCTAATCCATTATTATTAAACATTGTGTGTAACACGTTAGTTTAGTAATGATTTTTTTTTATAATATATGTCGTCAAAGTTTCATTACAAAAATTTGTACGCATCATAAAAAAAAAATTGAGTTGATATTATACATAAACTTTTGGATATTGTTGTTTTTAAATTATTTTTTTTAAAGGCTTAGGTTTGGCGTGCAAGCTATGTCCTGATAAGTTTCAAAAGACAATAACAAGCGTATACTACCTCATGGTTGCCTTAGGTCATGTTTTAACTTTGTTGGTTATTTGCGCTGGCTATTTTACATCTGAAAATTATTTTGAAGGGTTCAGTGCAGTGATTTATTTTTACTCTTTAGCTGGTGTAGCACTTATTGCAATAATCCTTTTTACGGTAATATTGTCTTACCAAGAATCTATGACATTTGTGGTTCACGACTCGGCGTCGCCAAATACAAAATCTTCGGATACAGTATCTTCTATTTTATAAATTTATTATGAGTCTTCTTCAGGAAAAAAAAAGATTTTTTGTGTGTTTATTTTTTCGTTTTGTTTTAATTTTCTTTGCTTTCCTAATCAAAATATCTTATTGATTTTCTTGGCAAGGGAAAAATGGCTTGTTGGAACCCCAGTCAACCCTAAGTCATAAAGTGCCAAAAACAAACAACGTATACAAAATTAGTTTACAAAAAGCGGACAAGGCTAACTTTTCTGAAAAGTAAAATTAAAAAAAGTTTAGTACTGAATTCGTTTTTGGCACTATCTAATTTGAAATTCGTTGAAAACAACACTTTATAAACCCAAGTATTAAAAATGTATCGTGGTATCGTTTCTAAATGATGTTTGCATTTTATGTGAATAAGTTTTAGTTAACTATGTTCTCTAGCTTATACAGTATTGGACAAAACATTTACAATCAACATCGAACAATGCTAAAAAGTGTTCCTAATTTTATGTCTTGACGAAACGAAAACGAAACGAACTATATTACCACAGCAAACAGTTCAGGAGTCTGGAGTCATAGCATGACATGAGCTGACAGGTGACAGCTCACAGGCAGAATTATGTTGACAAGTGCCATTTTGCAGCGGACAAAACAAGTGCAACTTTTTTGGTTTGTTTCATTTTCTTAAGTTTGTTCCGTGTCAATGTCACAGAAGTTTTTTAATAATTAAAAGAAGTTTCCAGAAGCATGCAGAAGTTTCGAAAAAGAAAGCATCGAAAAGAAGCATATAGAATCTTCCAGAACAGGTTCACACATGTTCATTTTACTATATAAGAGACATGTAAACCGACATGTAATTCAGTCAGTATATGGAAGTCAATCAGTCAGTTATAATTATGAAGACAATTTATCGAAGTGAGTTTTATTAAATTGTTTTATCGAAGAACATCAATACAAGAAGTGAAATACAACAAGTGTTTCATTACATCAATACAGTCCACATTCAACCAAGACATTGTGTTCCACAGATCATTATTGTATCATCACAAGGTAAATGTAACACGGTAAGCCTTGTGAAGCGTGATTATTTATTTTTATTATTTTAATGACTTCAAGTGCAAAAATGGCTCTCGACAGTCTTGGATTGGAACTAAGAAAGAAAATTATTGGCGATTACGTCAGTGGAATGTCACAAAAAAGTATTTGTGATAAATATCGCGTAAAAAAATGGATCGTATCAAGACTATGTTCCAAATATCGTTCTACTGTGAAGTTGGCAGCAGATAACAAAGGTGGAAGACCGTGTTCCACCACTTCTAGAGAGGATTCTATGATCGTCAGATCCGTCAAGAAGGATCCCTGGATATCACCAGTCGAGATACAAAAGCAATTAGAGCTGCCTGTATCGGACCGAACAATCAGACGACGTGCTGTTGAAGCGAGATTGTTTTCTCGACGCCCTGCAATAAAACCACTGATTTCACTAAAGAACCAGAAGAAAAGACTCCATTTTACTCATCTCATATTGACTCGAACGTGCAGAAATGGCGAACTGTCCTGTTCAGTGATGAATCGAAGTTCAACATTATTGGGAGCGATGGCATTTGTCGAGTACGTCGACCGGCCGGAAAACGCCTCGATTTACGATACTGCCATGAAACCGTTAAGCATGGTGGAGGCAATGTAATAGTCTGGGGGTGTTTTTCTGCTAACGATCTTGGTCCAACACATCGAATCAATGGAATAATGGACCGTTTCATGTATAAAAATATCCTGAAAGATGTTATGTTACCTCATGCTGAACGAAATATGCCAATAAAATGGGTTTTTCAGCAAGACAACGATCCTGCAAACACACTGCAAAAGTAGTCAAGCAGTGGTTTCAAGAGCACCACCTATCGGTGATGGATTGGCCGCCTCAATCTTCGGATCTCAACCCTATCGAGAACCTGTGGGAGATCGTCAACCGCAGAATTAATCGTGAAGGTGTTCATAATGAGGATCAACTGTTTGAACAAATTCAAAAGGCCTAGACAGTAATTCCACAAAGTTTCATTGATCACCTGATCAAAAATATGCCTCGAAGATGCAAGGCTGTGATTGACAACAAAAGATTCGCCACGAAATATTGATAGCGAAATACAGTTCGTCAATATTCTGTGGAGTTGCACTTGTTTTGTCCAATACTGTGTATATATATATATATATATATATATATATATATATATATATATATATATATATATATATATATATATATATATATATATATATATATATATATATATACAGATCTCTGGCCGGATACATCTGGAAATGCAATTTTTAAGATTATCTCTTATCCCACTAGTGTTCATACTTTTATAACAATTAGGAATTAACTGTTTTTGAGTAATTTAATTAATAAAAGTAAAAATTAAGTATTATAGTGAAATAATATAGTAATCGCGCAAATTTACCTTTTGAATGAATGAGCATTTGATCACGATTGCTCACTAATTTTTCACTATAATTCACTAATCACATCTAAATTTTGGAAAAAGAAAAAATGAAACGAAAACTTTTGAAGAAGAAAATAAAGGCTTTATAACAAATAAAAATAACAGTTACAATAACTTAAAAATGTTAAAGGTATAATATATTATACTATATATATATATATATATATATATATATATATATATATATATATATATATATATATATATATATATATATATATATATATATATATATATATATATATATATATATATATATATATATATATTTTATTTATTTTTTTATTTGCCATTTAATATTACAATAACTAAATATATTTTACAATTTTTTACATTAGTAACGACAGGACTTCTAGAAGATCATGAGGATCTTGTCATGAAGCCCTTTACAATATATGGTTAACTTTTAATAAAAATACAATGTCTGTAGTGAAATAATAATACACCTCTATGCAAAAATATTTAAAAACCAAGATAAAGTGTTAAAAAGTCAAGATAAAATTTTAAACCAAATAATATAAAAAATAAAACAACAACAAAAACAAAACAAAAAAAAAGGCAATTAAAAATAAATCAAGATATTTTCAATTAAAAATATAATTTTTTTAAGTTTCTGTTTGAATGAAGCAAAAGTCATTTGGGTTGAAAAATCAAAATTTGGTAAGACTATTTTGTTCCAGAGATAAGGACCTCGGTAAGAAACAAAAAACTGGTCTTTGCTTTTACGACAAAAAGGGGCAATAAGACTGTTATTAATTTGAAAATTATATTTGTTTTTAGGTTTCATACAATACAAATTTTGTAATACATTTGGCGACAAATTTTCTCTACATTTAAACATGAAACATAAAATATTAAAGACATTTAGTTGATATACATTTAAAATATTCATTTCTTTAAAAAGTTGTTTCGTGTGAAAAACCGATTTTTAAAATTTATTAAGCGAGTTGCGTGTTTCTGATGAAGGTAAAGAGATTTTAGCTTTGTTCTGTGAGTGCTTCCCCATATAATATTCGCTTAGTTTATATGACAATGTATAAATGAATAATATAATTGTGTTAACTGGTGTTTACTTAATATATTTCTTGCTTTATAGAGAATTCCGATGCATTTAGCAATTTTGTTGGAGGTATTATCAATATGATTTCTCCAAGATAGGTTTTCATCAATATATACTCCAAGAAATTTAGTAACATTTTCTCTTTTTATTATTATATTATCAATTAGAAGGTCTGGCATGATATGGGGCAGTTTCTGGTATTTTAAAGGTGGATAAAAAGTGTCCATTTAGTTTTTTCTATATTTAGAGACAATCTATTTTGTTTAAACCAAACAGAAACTTTTTTTAATTCATTTGTCATATTTGTAAAAAGCATATTAATATCTTTATGAGACAAAAACAAATTTGTGTCATCTGCAAAATTTATTGTTGTTAAATTTGATGATTTATGAAGATCATTTATGCATATTAAAAAAATAAGAGGACCAAGTATGGATCCTTGTGGAACACCACATGTTATATTCATTAATAGATGAGATATAGAACCTTTATTGTAAACAAACTGTTTACGGTTAGTAAGATAACTTTCAAACCATAATAGGGTTTTATCTTTAATACCATATGATATTAGTTTTTTTAACAGGATTTGATGATTGACGGTATCAAATGCCTTGGACAAATCAATAAACACTCCTAGTGTAAAACAAGAGTCTTTAAATGAGTCGGTTATATTGCGCGTAAGTTGAAGAATGGCATGCTCGGTTGAATTATTTTTTTTGAAACCAAATTGGTTTTCGTATAGAATTTTATTTTCAACAAGATAAGAGTAGATTCGGTTGTACATTATTCTTTCTAAAATTTTTGAAAAAACTGGAAGAACTGAAATAGGGCGATAATTTGTTATATTTGTACGATCCCCTGTCTTGAAGATTGGAGTTACTTTCGCTATTTTTAGTTTATCTGGAAAAGACCCTTGTGAAATGGATGCTCTGAAGATTTTATAAAGAATATCTTTTATAACATCGTATGAATCAATCACAATATTTGTGTTAATACCATCATACCCAGTAGCTTTATTTCGTTTTAATGACTTAAAAGCAACCTCAAATTCATTAAAAGCTAACTCAGTAAAATTTAGATTTAGACTTATTGATGTTTCGAACTCGTCAACAGATTTATCTTTAATGAATGAAATGCTATCGCTTAGTTTTGTCCCGACAGTGGAGAAAAACTTGTTAAATTCAAATGCAATATCATTTGGGTCATTTATTAATTTGTTTTCAATTTGTATAAAATTTGGGAGTAAATTTTTATTTGGTTTAAGTTTTCCAGACACCTCCTTCATGATTTGCCAGACGCGTTTTGAGTTGTGCTTATATTTATTAAGCAAGTTTGAATAGTAGTTTTTTTTTGCATTTTTGCGAAGCTTTTCAAATAAGCTTTTATAAGTTTTATAATTTTGTTTATGTTTTTCTGATTTTGATTTTAGGTATTTAATGTATAGCTTCTGCTTAATTTTTGATGATTTTCTGATACCTTTAGTAATCCAGGGAGATGACATTTCTTTATCGCTTAAAACTATTTCAATTAAAG